ACCATAAAATAATTGTATTGTATTCAGGTCGTTTTTTGTGTCTTTAGAATCATTATATTCAAGTTTAACAATCAAAGAGGAAACTACTATTCAGTAGAACTTTTTCCTAAACAAAAATCCCAATGATGCCAACTATCTTTAAAGCTATGTGTGACATCCTTGCAGATTAAGTTTTGTGTTAATGTTGGAGTTGCACCTCTGCTGATCTGTGGTGTATAGGATGTAAAGTACAAGTACAAGAATAAGGCAGCACATGATTGTTTACTGGAACTGAAGTGCAACAGACTGCAGTTGACAAAGCTGACTATAGTCCAGGGTGGCGCTATTGTACCAGTAAAGAGCAGAGGTCTCCAAAGTGGGAGGCAGGCCTCCTCAGGTGTGCTCTAAACAGTTTCAGGGGAGGCTCAATGAATGGAAGTGAAAACATATTGCATTAGTTATCAAAAGGAAATGGAATAGCCTAAATGTGTGTGATTTGGTTAAAGAGACCAAATCACTGATACACTAGTTTGGGGGAATTCTGATGTTTTTCCCAGTTATCCAGAATCAGAAACTAATAAATATAAGACATACCTTTCTTATGCAATTGGCGTAGTCTGAAGGTATGTCAGTCAGCAATATCAGACTATCTTGGCGAAATTGTGAGTGATCAAATAACATAATCCTGATCCCATAGGCATCCGATAATAAAACAAAATTAAGCAAGTCAACTAAAGGGGGTGCAAAGCGTTGTCTGAGGGGAGGCCAAAGTCTATTATGTGCAAATGTGCATGACTTTAAGTGACCATTCACTCAGTTACAGTTAGATAGTACTCTTCATGGTTTCTGCCAGAGGGATATTGCTTTAACGTTTCCTGTTTTCCCAGTTTTTGTGCAGGTGTTTCTTCACCTGATTGTTCACGCTCATACATGTCTGTGACAGTGAGAGCAAGAGTGTGTAAATAAAGTGTCCTGTTTTTTTTTTATATTAGGTTGCAGATATGTGACTCACCACTCTTACTTCCTTCTGGTAGCACTGTCACCAGTGGTGTAGTGGTTCCTGGAGAAGTGGTTATACTCAATTTATACTTAATTTATGGCCCCCAATATTTGTTATAGCAAAGGATAAACGCCCTGTGTTTTAAACTGCGATGTTAGACTACATATTTAATAAAAATGTGCCAGCACTATTTGCATATTGCCTCTGAACTTCTGCAGCTTGACTTCAGGCAGTAACATAACAGACATAACTACAGAATTATACATTTTGAGTGAAGTATTTCTTATAGTTTACACCATCCACTGGACAGATATGTCATGCATTTGCCATCCTAGGAAATAAATTCACTACTACTGAATGACCGGTTTCAGAGGGGATTTAGAAGTGGGTACACCCAAAGCTGACCCGCCTGTGTATACCCTGCACTACACCACTGAATGTAACCTATCTGCACCTTCACTAGTATGACTGTAATGTGAGCAGTAATGACTTAAATGAATAAATTATATAGGTTAACATACAGGTTAACACAAATATATATAATATATGTTATTCTTTGTTTTCTTACACTGAGCACTTGTTGCATGCATTCCCTGAGAGAGAGAGGAGCGTCTCCACGAGAATCTTTTGAGTTTTTTTACTATCGGTAATGTGTATGACATTTTAAATTACTGTTTAATAAAGAACAGCTTTCCAAATACACATGTAGAAAGACATTACTTTGATCATGTATCCCATGTTTTAAATGAGTCAGTGGGCTCTTTTTATAGAATGAATAAAACACAGGGTTAGTGTTGCACTGTAGCTACAACCTGCATGATAAATACACCTGCAGGGTGGACTTTGGAAATATGTTTTAATCAGAAGTGAAGATAGACGATCACAAAAGGCATCGATTACACATACCTGCAGGGTGAGGTCAGTGTGTGTGTGTGTGTGTGTGCAAGAGAGAGAGAGAGATTGCCTGTGGGTTGATGGGTTCATAGGTCAGAGTTATATGGGTAGCTGTTGATCTATGTGTCTACATGTCCATCTGTCTGTCTGGGTATTTAAATTGAGTATTTGTGGGTGGTTTTTAAAGGGGACAAACAATATTGAGGCAGTTATTTGTAGAAAATCCAGAAGAAGACTGAAGAGAGGACTGTGGATGTCGGAGAACAGAGGACACTGGTGACTCGGGATGCTCATCAGCCCACTGGATATTCTGCTGCATCCTGGAGACCAAATCACCATCAGACCCGCTGCTACGATCAAGATCTTTGCTCTTAAATCTGTTTGACTGAAAGAAACTTGATTGCAGTAGTCATTATTTCCTCCTAAGGAAGGTTTCTGAACAGTGTGATGATTGTGGTCCTCACAAGATAAGAAAAAAACAAACATTCACTTGTGGACAACAGAAGCAATTTCACTTCACTGGAGTTCACTTTATCCTCTCCTTAATATTTAGGAACTAGAGGAATGTAACTTTGACTTTTGACTCCTTTTTCCTGTGCTCACCGTCATGTGTGTCCTGGCACAATTTCGGGAGGTAAATGGTGTTCCTCCTTTACCAGCAGGTTGGGAATGGAGCATGGTGGTCTACGTTTGTCTCTTCGTCTCACTCAGCACGCTGTTAGCTCTGTTTCTCTGGTTCTTACTTCAACAATCACAATGCTACCAATACAGACAGTGATGTTGCACTGTGACCTACAGCTGCTACCTCTGCATCCTCCTCGTGGATGTCTGTGAATGTTTGTGTCTTGTGGACTCTGTTGAATCTGTGTTGTACCATAACATTTGGAATATATTACACTTCTGTAAATGATAACAAATAAATTTTTAAGTGGTCTGTTAAATATGATCTAAACCAGTATACAGTTTTCACCACAAATGCCATGTAAAGTCTGAAAATGGCTCAGTCTTCGCCACCAGATGGAGTCTGCACAGTTGTCATGGCGATAGCTCAGTTGTCCTCATATATTATTTGAAGGCCATGAGATGCAGTTGATAGCTCTGGAGGAAGAAAAAAAGGCTCATAATGAGGGGCAATGGTGGCCTAAAGGTTAGATAACCGGGGCTGTAACTGGAGAGTTACCAGTTTGATCCAGCAGGATACTTGTGAAAGAACAGCATTAGCAGCTCCCTTATGTCATTTGAATAAGTCAGTGTTTTTTAGTGTACCAAGATTTTTTATTGTTTTTCCGGAGGAAACATGAACGTCCACATTCAAAATGTTTTTATTTATTGCTCTTTCACAGTAAAAGATCATCCATCTTCCTTTAAAAAGTCTGCTTTGTAAGCTTCTTTCTTCAGAATACACTTATATGTGTGTTTAACAGTATAACCCACATTCTCTCTCTCTGTCTGTGTAAAGTCTTTGTTAGAATTGATCCGTAGCTCTCAGTTTAGTTTACTTGGTGATTTATTAGCATGGCATGAAAATTCCTCACATGCCAAAGGCGACAGAATGAATAGGGTTCATAGTAGAAACAATACTAATCAAATCAATACATTTCTGAGATAAGGTTCTTCATTCAGTTCATTTTACCCCTGTGGTAAATCAGTCTCCACCTGATGTCCAGTTCTGGTCTGATTATATGGTCAGCTTCTGTTTTATAGTATATAAATGAATAGGCATTGTTATCTCGTTATTATGATGATTTTTTATGATATGATTTATGATGATACTTCAGATGTCTTAAGACACTGTTGGTCTTCAGTCACACACAATAAACCAGGGTTCTATATATATATAATATATATAATATATAATCTTCATGATACTAAACTTTGGATGTCTCAAAATATCCTGTTTGGTGTCCAGTAACTGCGATTATTCTTTGATCTTAACAAATGTTACAGCCAAATCTAAAACATGACTAAGCAACGGATCCATTTTCCTTTCAGTGTATAGGCTCCATGAATGATTTATTAAACTCTTAATACAATCCGTTCCACATGTAGCTGTATAACTTCTTTTCACTACGAGATAGAAACAGGAGTAGCTGGACATGTAGACTATGATATGTGTATATTGTCTTTAACTTGTAGGTGTGAGCGCAGTGTAAACAGACGTTCCTGTTACTCTTAGCTCATCATTAACTCGGTGGTCTGAAGTGACCTTAAAGCCACTAATCAATATTTTAGTATTAATAATGGATCGAATGACGTGTAATGTGAAAGGGCTCAGTCTTAGTGACGAAAGTTGATCGCTCAACTCTGCTCTCCATTTGTTCTATGGAGTGTTTTAGCGTCTTTCAGCTCATTGTTTTTGTTTTATGGCACTTTAATAATTGCTAAAAGCTTTATCTCACTGCTCTCATCAACTGTGGTCCAGAAGCAGCAGGTAAAAAGTTCTGATAAACACGCTTTATGCTTCCTGTCCAGCACCAAACAACAGGCAGACAAAATTATCAGCTATAGCTGGTGGACATAGTGTAGTGTTCAGCTACTTAAAAGCGAAAACTATCCCTCCGAATGTTTTGTAGACCAAAACAAACAAAACACTGGACTTAATATTTGTCAGGTCAGCAGTAAAATAAGGCAACTGCTTGTGTAAATAGGCAACTGTTAGCTAACATGTTTGTCTTAACATAATATTAGATGGTCATTTCAGCTCGTACCACTGTCCCAAAGTAGCAAAAAAAAAAAAAAAAAAAATCTATCTCTTAATCAAAGAGAAGGTGCACTCAAATAATAATAATAACTGATATTTGATAATAATATAATGAAGCCTTTACAACAACAATTAAACAATAAGAAAAATCTAATAAAAAAAAACTATTCATTATAGGCTGTATTATAATGACATTTGGTGTAAACGTGGATACAAACCTCAAAATTAAAACTGCTCAAGGCTGAAGTTGCTAAACTTTATCCAATAAGGTGACATTAATGCATTTAAAAGTCATTGGGTTCATTATGAAATATGCATATATAACTACAGAAAAAACAACTTCAAGACACCTGAAACAACATTTCCCAGAGTGCTTCAGGAGAAGGGGCTGTGCCAGAGCCCGTGCGCACCGGGGTGTGGCCCACACACGCGCACCAGCACACTTACGCGCACAACCGGAGAGTATTTCCTAGTGGGTTTCTGCTGTTGTCCTTCTTCTCTTCCTCTCTGCTCTCCCTGCTGGGTCGCTGCTCACCGAGCTTCATCCAACAGCTGCAACTCCTGCGGTAAGTTCCTCCGGTCACCGGGACACTTTAACGCGTTACTGCCCGGATACACGTTCATCAGCATCGGTCGTGTGAGCCGGGGGACAGACACCTCTCCTTTGTCCCCATGGACCATCTGGGGACAAAGGAGAGGTGTCTGTTTGTAGGAAGTTAGACTTAAGCAAGACTGGAGGGGAGATAAAGGAAGGCACCGGATAAACATGAGGAAGATCAAGTTAACTTTCAGATGTTTGAAGTTTAAAACATAAGTTCAGTATTCGTCATGTTGAGTTGTTAAATAAAGTTTTTCTCTCTTTTTCTAACAGACTTTCTTCCTACCGCTAAAAAAACCGCTCCATCACTGTCAAAATGGTGAGTCATTTTAATTTCACAGATTTCTCTGCCCTCAATCTAAAAAAAAAAAAAGTTTTATATTAAATAATAATAATTGTTCATAAAGTCTTTATAAAAACCGTTATTTATGCAAATGTATGAGTCACAATAGTTTATACCCTCTGAACTCCAAGACACTGCCCACTTTTTTCCCCTTCATTATATAATGCTAAGATAAGATCTGAATGTAGGCAGGAGTTGACAAAACGTGAATATTTATTCACTTTAACTATAACTTTTTCAGGTTGACATTAAACATAAAAGCCTGTGAATGTAGAGGATGTGTCTGTGTAAGATAAAGTACGAGCTCCACAAACATTTACAGAAAGAGTAACTTGTGTGTGTTAACATAAAAAAAGTTGTCATATTGGCACTTTCACTGATTAAACTTTCCAGTTTATCAAGCGCGCCTGTGTGTGTGTGTGTGTGTGTGTGTGTGTGTGTGTGTTTGTTTTAGGGCTGCAAAGAGAGTTTTCATTTGGGGAAGTTGGGAAGTTTTAGTTTATGACTCATGTGGGCTCTATTCCATTCGGGTGGGTCTCTCTGTCTCTCCACTTCTCTCTGTGTTTAATACACTCATTTCCACGTCCAGCCCAGAGTTTCAAGCCGCCCTCCCCTCTCTTAAAGGAGAATCAGTTACATTTCCCTTTGTGAGGGTGAAGTTTCGTTACCATAAAACAATAAAAACAAAGTGATTATATTCATGATAATCAGCTGCAGTCTTCAAAGAGTTTAATCCGGGGCAATAAACTGAACTTCTCATGTCATGAACTGCTCACAGAAGTCAGTTTGAATGGATCTTTCTTAGAGGATAAGATTGGTCATGTATTTAAACTGCCTGAAAATGCAGTGGAAAGAATTATTAACAAGTGTCTGTAAGGTCAAAGCCTGGTATATGTTATTCTTTAGTGCCGTAGACCTCAATTATTGTACATAAAAATATTAAAAAACACATCAACCTTTGCTCTGGATTACTTGTTCACGTGCACTCTAGTTTATTTTGAGTCAATCCCACAAACTGTACTTCAGCCCTAAATACTCACTTCCACACTGTATTTGTTTCAGTAACATTTTCTTCGGTGCCCAGCTCTTTTAGGGAATTATTAAGCCTTTTATAAAGCACCATTATATATTTGTGACACGTGTTTATGGATTTAAGTCTTCAGTAGGAAACACTGAGGTCATAAGTCCAAGCAGCGTCCCCACCCCGAAGTCATCGTGGAGAGAAAATGTGTAAAATGTTGTAGTAATTTGGATGTTTTTCCTGATATAACAACAGTTATATGTACCAAAGGTTCTCTATATGATGATCTAAAAGCAGATTTTATCTTTTATCTCATGGTGGAGAAAAGGGTTAAATCTTTGTATTTAAAGATGTTTTAAGCCATAAAAATACTCTTCTTTAAATAATAATTTGTGTCTCTCATTGTAAAAATTCTAAATATATCAATGTTCATGATATTTTTTTAACTTCTGAACACAAGATGTCTCATACTTGATTGAAAAGTACATTACCTACTACCTGAAAACTGTCAAAAATAAGTGGCACTGACTCTAAAAGTTCACTATGTTAACAGAACATTGAAATCCAAAATAAAAAAACACAATTTAAATACTACTTTTTAGGACTTTAAGACTCAAAAGTATAGACAGTATTAACACAGTAAGCAGTAAAATCCACAATTAGACATTATGACAGGGGGACTTCCCTTCATACAAACATGATTGCATTGGTTGTGTACTGTCTCTATGACAACCACAGTCTCTAAATGACGGAGAGGACTGATAAGACCCGTGCCGTGTTATAATCTGCGCTTTAAAGCTAACAGATGCCATCTGTGACAGCCAGTGTTAACATATGGCGGGGTCAACATACCTCCATCAGAAGCCCCCTAAGATCCAGGTCCTGTCTGAACTCGCCACCGGAGCTGAACCTGTGTCAAACATACCAGTGGAAGCGAGCTGCATTGTGTTGTTATTGTTATTGTTGTTGTTCTAAATATCCCGTTTGCTCGGCTGTTTGTCCGAGCAGCCATCTGCACTCTGATTAGATTTTGTTTAGCTTGTGGTGCTTCAGTGTGTTTATGTGAACGGGGAGAGAGCTCGTGGACATTTTGGCGTCCATTCCTGCACAAGAAGACAGAATCCTGGTTGTTAATGGCAACTTGTTATTTGTATGGCCCACTTTTCCAAAACCAGATTTTCAAGGTCAGAATTCCAGAGACATTCTAGTGGTTTTCCTCTCTAAACATCTCTCTCTGGAATGAGAAGCAACCAGATGCCTGTTTTATTGTTAATGTGTCACAGTTTTTAGGGCTTGTCTGTGCAGCATTGTTACAGAAAGTCAAAAAAATCAATCTTAAAGTAAATATTAACCACTTAATCACATTCTTGCTGTCTTCAGTTTGGACCAGTCTGCTGTTCTGAAATACTCTTTCCACATTCAGAGAAATTATTAGCCTGATAATCAGACTGAATTGCTGTTTCGTTTCACTTAATTCAGCATATTGGAACTGCTGAGCACATCTGAGGTGTAGGCAGCAACTCCACGGCTAAAATATGGGAACATACTGGTTATGAAACTGGAGTGGGTTTGATGGGAGATCTTCTGTGCACATCCGCAGATCTGTAGTTCATGGAGTTGAAAGTCTGTAAGCCATTAAGTGCATTTAAAAAGGGAGGGGGGGCTTTGATGAGTGTATGCTCATAGCAAATCTGAGATACAAGGTTTTATTATGTAAGGATGAATGCAGAGATTGAGAAAGTATATTCTTTAATTAAATTAAGGGGAAGAAGTGCATAAAGTCATTATATGACATTATGGACACGAGGAATCTGAAATATGTAATTTTATATCTAAGCGTGAATGAGGTTGATAACGTGTTCTGCAAGAAGGCGGAAAGTTATCCATGTCACAAATCTGAGATCTGGTATTTTATAAGTGTGTATTTTAACTCGGGGTATGCAGAGGCAAGACTTTGATAAGATTATGCACAGAAGCATTAAACTAGAGAAGTATGATCTGCAATGTTATAGCATTTACTTTATATCTGATAAGAAGCTATAGACAGCGTGCATAAATAATGTTGCTGTAGCTCAGGAGCATTTATGAATCACACAACAACAAGAAGACAGTCATTAAATATGCAAAGATTTGTCCCCAAGTGTCCAGAAAACCTGCTGTGTCCTTGTATATTGCAGTTGGGAGAACATTTGAATGTATGTAAACATGCATTACAGAGGTCCGGAATCCAGAAGGAGAAATGTTTATGGGGATAAAATGTATCTTTTGGAAAAAAGACATAGAATTTGGGAGAATCTACACTGGAATAATCATCTTCTGTCTTATTTCTTCCATGTTCCAGGCCACCAGAGGAACTGTAAAACCCAGTTTGAACTTCAATGCCACTACAGATGCTGAGGTCCTGTACAAGGCCATGAAAGGGCTAGGTAAGATGCTTATGTGTGTGTGTATGCTGTCAGCACGGTGTCATCTGATATGTTGAAGGTGTGTCAGTCAGTAGTACAACTCTCACAGACCAATGAGAGAGTTTTTTGGGGGGAATTCCTCCCTCCTTTAACTGTAGTAATCCCTGCTGTCTGCGGGGAGCTCCACCCAGACAGCAGTGAGTCATAAACAGATGAAACTTGAGTCACTGTGAGCAAACACATCAGCTGACCTCGACTGAAGCCTGTAATCATGTGGGTGAAATAATCAACTGTCTACCTAGACGGAGAGTGTTCATTGCTATGGAATATGTGTGCCATACGTGTGCCTTGTATAGAATAGTTAAACAAACACTTGGCTGCTTGGCTGAGTAACCATGGTGCTTGTTGCCGTAGGGACCAATGAGGATGCCATCTTGGAGCTGTTGACGGCCCGCAGCAACGCCCAGAGGCAGGATATCAAGACTGCCTACAAAACTCTGTTTGGAAAGGTTGGACTTCCTTAACAAACCATATGACCAAACATATTACAAGAGCTCCAGTTTAAAAAGGCTTCAGTGTGTTTAAAACAAACTACTGTGTGTGCTGTGTTGTTTGACCTCGTTTAAAGCAGTAAAGTTTATACCTGGCCCATATAGCCTCGTCTTGGTTGAACAGTTACGGTTACAGACTCTCCACCTTCCTACGCTCATATTTTGAGTGTAATTAATTTGCCAAAAAAGAGACAAAACACATAGAAGATTGATTTCAATTAAAGCAGCATTTTAAAAAAAAGATTTAAAATATTTAGTATAAAATATAGTTTCGGCCACAATAATCGGGACGTGAAAATCTGATATCATGACAGACCTACACAGAACTGCATGTACACTTAAAGACGGACATTTTGGGAGATATACTTCGAAGAACTTCTTGCCAAGAGTTATTTGAGAAGATGGTTTGTATGGTAAATATAAAGCTACAGCCAGCAGTTGTTTACCTTAGCTGAGCATAAAAACTGGAAAAGGGGGAAACGGGTAGTCTGGATCTGTCCAAACGTACAGTGAACCTTAAAGGTGCTGATAGGTACAGCAACGCTAGCTGCTTCCCCCCTGTTTCCACTCTTTATGCTAAGCTAACTGGTTGCTGGCCTAAACTTTATATTTATTTATATTTATTACAGACATGTGGGTCAATCTTCCTATCTATTGCACAGCAGGAAAGCAACTGAGCCTATATTTCCCAAAAGGTTGAACTATTCCTTTAACGCAAGCTGAGCAGAAAACTTTGTGCTGCCACTGAACAGACAATAATTACCTCCCAGCATGATTATTATTTATTAATGTGAGCTCAACAGGAGACTCTATCCTCCAACTAATAATATTCTCTCCTCAAAAGCATTCATGGTGTTGCACATCTGGCCAATCCCTGCATAAAAAGAGCGTGCTTGTAGGACCCCACAACTCCTTTGTCAAACAATCTGAGGCCTTTAAACCGAACACACAACATCAAAGCTACAACTTAACACGGTCAAACAATTACAATACAGTACGACTGCATACAAATACAAACAAGATTAGCTTGCAGTACATGACAACCATAAAATCCTTTTTATTTATGCTGCACCAGAACTAAATAATGTATCTCCATGACAGGATCTGGTAGATAACCTGAAGGGAGAGCTGGGAGGCAAATTTGAGACCCTGATCGTGGGTCTCATGACTCCACCCATCGCTTACGATGCGACTTCCCTTCGCAACGCCATCAAGGTAAGTGTAAGATAGGAGGCAGATAGAGACTCTGATGTGCTGAAGACGTAGAGTTTAGAAATGTAAGCTGGGAACTTGAAATGTTATTTCATCAGACATTTCCTCCTTTGACCTGTAGGGGGCAGGAACAGATGAGAAGGTGCTGGTGGAGATCCTCGCCTCCAGAACACCTCAGCAGGTGAAGGACATCATCGCTGCTTATAGACAGGGTAATACACACAATGCACACACTTCATGATAAACTCACCTGAGACCTAGATCATGTTTACATGCTGTTTGCTTCATCATGAGCAACACTAGTGTCTATTTCTTGAAAATGCCCACTTAAATCCCAAAAACAAAAGTTAGACGTTCATTCAGAGTCATGAAACCAGTCTTTTGTTTGTGGTGTGTAGATTCAGAAATGTTCTTTTTTTAAATATACATTATTTCTAAGGAACATAAAGATACAACACAAGTTGTGTTTGCTCAGTAATCATCTTATGAGGTCGTAAACACAATACATTTTTATCCAGTATTGCAGGAATTTATCAGCCCGTACATTTAGCGAACAAGTATTTATTTCCATACTTTGAACAGTAGTCACAATATCTATCCAGTCGGTCTTTGTTGGAGGTCTGTAACCATTTTCGTGTTACAGCTTTCTTGCTGTCTGCTAATAAGTATCTTTAGTAGATATTTGTCTTGCACCAGTAAATGAGCAGCGATATTGCCAAACTCCATCACCAAATATGTTCTGTATTGCTGTAGCACTGACCAAAAACAGAGCTAAAGGAGAGTAAACATTGGACTTGGCGTTCTTGGCGAGTAACACAACTGTTGCTCCGTAACTGCTGGATGTGTAAATACGCAATTGTTTTCCAACATAAACGCTGTATCAATATGAGGATATGCAAACAACTTGTTTCCTTTTTTACATGTAAATCATTTTTACATGTAAACAGACTGTATTATATTTAATTTGTTACATCTCTCTGATGTATTTGTGTATTTTGTAATAGTGAAACAAAAGAAAACATGAATGTGTGTTTCCTCAGAGTATGATGACGACCTGGAGGAGGATATATCTGGTGACACTTCAGGTCACTTCAAGAGGCTTCTGGTTATTCTCCTGCAGGTAAATATCCTTCCTCTCCTCTCCATCTCTTCTCCTCTCCTCTCCTCTCCTCTCCTCTCCTCTCTAACAGAAGTGTTTGGTCTCTCCTCAGGCGAACAGGCAGCAGGGGATCCAGCAGGGAACTATCGAGACTGATGCTCAGGTGAGTCATCTGTTTATTGCTGCTCAGTAAATATTTCTGCTCTTTTTCATCAATGGGGTCCTTGTCTTGTAGATTGAGGGTGTGACTGTCACATGTGTTTGTGGATAGGATCTGAATACTGGCCTCTGAAGCCTGTTTCTGTATGTATTTATAATGCTGTTATGACGCCCTCTAGTGGAGGGAGATGGGTACAATTTCCCTTAACATTCAATGGCTGAAATTTAAAAGGTAGAAACATACTGTGAAGGGATTCAGTATGAGTCAGCTATTTTCCTCTAGTTCTTTCTGATCATGATGCATTACTGAAGAGACTTCGCTGTCAGTTACTAGTAGCTGAGTATTGTTCAGGTCATTCCTCTTTAGCACATATTACTGTGAGTTTAGTACGAGAAAACAATCCAATCCACACTGTATTACACAGTATTATTGACATATTACATAAACAGCATTTTAATGGTTGTGGTCAAGCTAGTTTTATTATTTATATATGGTTGGGTACTTTATAACGATATATTTTTATATATGTTTCAATCTCAGAGTAACTATAGCAGTGAGTTAAATTAAGTAAAAAGTACACTATTCCCCTCAAAACTGTGGGCCTACTTGCATACAGTATTTGAGTAAATGTACTCAGTTACTTTCACCACTGAGTAAGGTAGTACAGAACATGTAAAATTGGTGGAATGGCCCTTTAAACCCCCTTTTGCACAGGACTAGTATTATCAGGGGACCTCATGTGGTTTGTAATAATTGCGGAGGACGTCTATGATCTAAATCCTATTAGTAAAATAAATATTCCACCACAAGTTACGTACCATATGTCACCAAACACAGAGGTCCTGTGATGTTTGCAAAGTATCAAACTGTTATCTTAATGAGTGGAAGTGGAATATATGGTGCGACGCCTACAGATTGATGTATTATAAGATCAGTAAAGTTATTTTTTAAGTGAAGTTTCTGCAGCTACTTCCGGTGTTTCAGGCTTTTCTCCCATCTTTCAGCACAAAGTTTGGTCCATATAGTACTGCAGTGAGCACAAACGCCACATCACAAACCAACTTTCATTACTGCTGTCCACATCTGGTGTGTCATATTCCTTCCTTTGACTTTATTAAATACCTGCAGCATCACACAGCAGCAGAAACTATAAGTTGACAGTGGTCATTAACGTGCCAACTGAGGGATAATGTCGGTAAATTTGAATAAAATACAGACTTTCCTTATCCTGTAGAAATAGTTGGGCAAATTCGGCACATAAAACACAGATCTGGGGGGTCATTACTAAATCACATGAGGTCCCCTGGTAATATTAGTCCCGTGCAAACAGGGCTTAAGAGTCTAGCTTGTCTCTGATTTTGAAGGACAATGTGTGACGTGTATCATTTGTTTCTGTCGTAGGTCCTCTTCAAGGCAGGAGAGCAGAAGTTTGGCACTGATGAACAAACTTTTGTCACCATCCTGGGAAACCGCAGTGCCGAACATCTTAGGAAAGGTTTGTCTCAGAGAGAGAGAGAGCTTTTCCAATTGTTCTGCATTGTCACGTAACAACCACACTCATTCTGAACCTGTGTGTTTCAGTATTTGACGCTTACATGAAGCTGGCTGGATACGAGATGGAGGAGAGTATTAAGAGGGAAACATCTGGAAGTCTGGAAGATTTGCTTCTCGCCGTGGGTACGAAACACAACTCAAATCCTGCAGACAGTTTCTGTTTTCAGCTGCTCGAGTGGTGGTGACTTTAAATGACAAATAATGACAAATCGCTGTCTGTCTTGTTTTCTTTTAAAGTGAAGTGTGCCAGGAGCGTTCCAGCCTATTTTGCTGAGACTCTGTACTATGCAATGAAGGTAAGACAGCAAAATAAAATGGCCATTAAGTATAATCAATGTTATCTTTAACCACCTTCAAATCAGTTAAAAGAACAGATTATAATGCCAGCAAAAAAGTTCCTAAAAGTACATTTAAAGTTCTCTGTTGTTTATCCATATGCTCATTTCTGTTTTGAGTTTAAATGAATGAAGTCAGTTAATTATTTGGAAACTTAAAGAATCTTGATAAATGTTACATAATATAAAACAGATTTCAATGAAATCCCATTAAAAGTGAAGTCAGAGTCATGAAACCAGATGATTTTTTTTGTGTGGAACTGGACTCAGATGCAGTTTTATTATTATAATTATTGTATATAATATAAAAAAATAAAAAAAATAAAAAAATGTTTTCTATTATAAGTTGAAAACGGTACTAGGATCCCCAAGTGCCCTTAATTGACTGACTTCCTGCGCAGTGTCACTCTGCCCGCCATGCTCAGATTATAAAAAAAATAATAAGAGATCCTAATTAAAGAGCAGTTTTACCTCACAAAAATTCATATGGAAGAAGAGAGAACTCCCACACACTGTTGTTTTACTAGCAGTAAAATTAAATAAAGATACCAAACAGCAGACAGACACAGTTAGAGACAGATATTTCCCTCAGAAGTTAGAAACAGAGTTAAAGTGAGTAAATATTGGACTTATAGATGGCCAGAAACGACTACAAATGAATGATAATATTGCTCCGTAACTGCTGTATGAGTAAATATTGATGGATGTGTAAAATAACTGTTTGCTAATTGCTATATCAATATAATGATATGTCAGTGTTGTGTTGTGTTTCCACTACCTAAAAATCAGTTTATAGTGTATCATGATTGATGTCCACTGTATTTTCATGCCGATCTGGATCCAGATGCACATTAACTACCTTTTTAAAATATGAACAGATCTGTGGGTCGTTATCTCGTGCTCTCAGATACTTCTTAGACATTTATGTATCATACAGTCATCTAATGTTTGTGTGTTTGTTTCAGGGTGCAGGAACTGATGATGACACCCTGATCAGAGTGATGGTGAGTCGCAGCGAGGTGGACATGTTGGACATCAGGACTGAGTTCAGGAAGCTGTTTGCCTGCTCTCTGTTTTCCATGATCAAGGTACACACACACACACACAAACACAAATAAACAAATACACAACACTACACACCTATATAAGTTGCCCTACACCAGGGGTAGGCAACCTGTGGCTGTTTAGCCCCTCCACAGTGGTTCCCTCTGGGTTTGACAAAAGATTATATGGATTATGGTTATTATTTTAACATTTCCAGTTGTCATTGTTGTGATACTTAGGTTTTTTGGTTGTAAAAATGTGTAGCCATTACACACCAAATAAAAATAAAATGTTTCAGTATTTCATGAACTAAATTGTACATCCTGATCTGACACCTTTTCCTCTGTATTTTGCCGAAACTCTATAGTGGTGGCTATTAGTCTTGAGTCTAGGCTACGTTAACAGACGTCTCCCAGTACAATATAACTGTTAGTGGACAGATTTGTATATATATGTATGTATACTTGATCTGCGGGTATAAATTAGCATCATAAATCTCAAATGTTACGTAGCTCCAGACTGATAATAAAGGTTGCTGTCCACTGTCCTACACCTATAAAGCTCTCTGTTTTTGTGTTACAGGGAGATACCAGTGGCGACTACCGGAAGGCCTTACTGTTGCTCTGTGGTGGAGACGATGCGTAACCACAGCAACACAACATAAACCGCACCTGACGTGCCTCTTCTCGCTAAGTTGGCCCTTTGGCCCACTGAAACCAGAATTTCTATCACATCAAAAAGCTTTTTGTGTGTGAGCGACGGCCCATCAGGTCTTTTTAAACTACAATTCCAAATAATGTCTTTGAAAGGTAGCTAACACTTTGTCGTTGTCCACATTAAAGCAGCTTTTGGTCGGCTAACATTTTCAATATGATTTTTAATATGAATATCATTCATTTGTAAAGCTAAAGTATCAGACCCAGTGGTTTTTGTTTGCACGTTGTATGGCAGAAACAATATATGCAATAATAAACATTTAAGCTGATGAAGTACGATGATTACATCTGTCTTGTCTCTGGTATGTGTCTATGTGTCGGTATGTAGTTCAAGTACCTTGTAATATCTGTTGATCATGTACTGGCCTCATGTAGCCACTAGAGGGAGGCAGAGCAGCTTTAATGAAGATAAATTAAAGCTTCTCAACATTGTGTCATTGTCAGTAGACAGATGTGGAAAGAGTAAAATAATATTTATTCAGTACTATAAGTTAATTGTACTTGTCATACTACTCCCACACCTTTTAATATATAAACACTTTATTTATTTGACAGTTTATTAGTTTATAAAATGCGAAACATTACAGATTAAACCTACTAATTACATAAAAAGTATAAAGTTCTCCTTTGACCACCTGCAATAATTCAATAATATAATGCATAAAACTACTCAGTATTCAGTATATATATAATGAATACTTTTACTTTTCTTGAATATGTTTTTCTGGTAATACTACTTGTAATGGAGTATTCTTACATTGTGGCTAGGTGTACTCAAAAATAGGATCTGACCACTGCTAATTACTTTATAACAGATCTTATCTAATACTTTAATTAAGATTCACAGAACAACATCGATGCTTTATGATGATGTTTTATGTCCCAGCAGTGGTGGAAGTTCTCATATCTTTTACTTATATCACATGTGAACACTGTTACAAGTAAAAGTCCTGCATTCAAGTACTTTAAAATAATAAAATAAAGTATTAGCATCAACACATACTTAAAGTACCAGAAGTATAAGTATGCATTATGCAGAGTGGCCCATTAGAATAGGATTATGTTAAATTTATATTAAATGTTTTGATGCTTTAACGTGTACGTCACTAACTAATGTTGTAGTTGGTAAATGTGGTTCTTATTTGAATTACTTAAGTTACTACTAAGTTGTATCTTAACCTATAATGATACATCATAATTTATTTAATTTATTCTTATTCTGGTTCACCAAACTAAAGTTATAAAATAAATGAGGTGGAATAAAAGTGTACAAGTATTTACCTCTGAAATACAGTGGAGTAAACTCACTTCACCCTCCCTTTCAAAGCACAAAGGAGAAACTATGGTGGCCACAAAATGCATGAAAAACGTGAGCGGCCCCATCTAGAGCCAGTGTTTACTGTACTGTACTTAAAGGTCCAGTGTGTAACATTTATGAGGATATATTGGCATAAATATATATTATTCATTAGTGTATAATCACCTGAATATAGGAATTGTTGTGTAATGTGTCTTTTTGTTCCCTTAGATTGAGCTGTTTTTATCAGCTGGGGGAGCGGGTCCTTTTCTGTGGAGGCCGCCATGTTTCAGTAGCACAGAAAGGACAAACCAAACACTAGCTCTAGATTGTTTTCACACATTTCACAGCCACCGTAGTTTCTCTTTCACACTTGGAAGGGGAGAGCGAAGTGAGGCAGTTGCAATCTGCAACTACACCACTAGATGCCCCTAAATCATACAAACTGGACCTT